ACACACACACACACACACACACACACACACACACACACACACACACACACACACACACACACACACACACACACACACGAACCCCCACCCCAACCACCCCCACCCCCCAACACCAACCTAGAGCGCACACACCCGCACAGTCCGTAGGCTCGCACATCCACGAATACATAATGATAAATCACCCAGCTCTGCACACACGTCCTCCTGTTTTTCCCGACCTTCCTTTCCATCTCTGTCACCTTGAAGGCCCACTGGCTTCAGGGACCACACGCCATCACTGCCGCCTTCATCCCAGCACGAGGACGCAATCGTGTCGCCACCGACAACACGCCCCTCGCACACTGCGCTGCTTGCCACGTACACGCCTCGCAACTGCGCACAGTTCATCAGCTCCAGTCGTCGCAGATGCGGCAGCTGAAGAGGGGCGTTGCCGCCGTACGCTGACGGCCACCACGAGCGCCGTCGCTGGAGCCACCGCACAGAAAGCCCCACCAGCCGCACATCACGCAGGGTCGGCATCTGCTCAAGGGCAGCCTGGACGTCCGTGCTCAGCCGAACCTGCGTGCACTGGTCCAGTACGAGCGTTGTGAGGGCGCAGGCGTGGCGTGTCAGCACACGCGTGAGCAGCGCATCCGAAAGCAAGTTGGCGCCGGCGAGTCGGAGTGAGTCCGTGGCTGCAGTGGTGTGGTCAGCCTGCGCCAACGTCGCTAGTGCTCGCTGCTGTGACTCCTCCGAGCACTCTCGAAAGTCAATCAGCTGTGTCACGTTCACCAGGCCACCAACGCCTGTCACTGGCGCAGGCATCCCGGCACTCCCCCGTCCCTCGTCGACAGAACACACATCACCATTGTCCACTGTCGTGAGAGAGGCAGCATCGGAAGCACACCCCACCGCCCCATGCTCCGCGCTGTCCTCGCCGCTCACCCCACAGCCTGGCCCCACCATGACCAGGGAACTGCAGTGCAGCGGGTCTCCAAGCGAAACACACGACTCAAGACCGCGCACACGAGAAGCAGCATGAGTGACGTTGGATGTGGCCAGTTGTTGGGACATGAGGGCCGTGCACATCGCGCACACGCGCACCCACAGTCGAGCCGTGTCCAAGCACAGGAAGGTGTGTTGCGCGCCGTGATGCTCCAGCATACAGTGGAGAATCTGAAAGCGTCTTACAATGCGGCGGCGCAGTCGTCGCACAAACTCGTTCCATGCAGCGTCACTGCCACTCACGTCCACCAGCGCGCCCGTCACGTCGTCGCTCACCGCAGAGATGTGGTCTGCCACTGGCATCTCGGTCTGTTCCTGTTCAGCAGGCACGCAGACGACACCAGTGTATTCTCCACTGGCGTCAGCGCACATCCGCAGGGCGACGCTGTCCTCAAACCCAAGAAGACATGCGCACAGCAGCAGGCGTGTCGCCTCTTCAGTTACGCTGGAACTGGTGCTTGTGTCGCTCATTGCATCGCTCGAACGACGACCGTTCTCTCCCAGCATCGATGACGCCGAAGTCCATCCCAGAGCGCTGCTGTTGTCTTCGTTATCGACACTGCTGGTATCAAATGTGCCCACCACCGCCACACCAACAAGCTGGCACCAGCCTGACTGGCGGAGCAAGGCCACTTCCAGGGGAAGGCAGCTCGCTGACTCGCCAAAGAGCACCGCGCACACCTCGCGCACCAGCAACGCCTTTGCCAGGCGCATGTAGTCGCAGTGGTTGCCGTTCAGCACCATGAGCTGCCACGGGCACTGGTGGTCGTCAAGTGGCATCGGCTGTACGCACAACCCGCGCTCCGTGGCAGTGGAGCAAGGGCGCAGCTGGTGCTCGTACAATGCGACCTCAAGATCCGTCTCCAATGTGAGCGTAAGTGCCGGGTCAGCGCTGCTGCTTGAACCAACGTCCTTGTTGTGGTTGGAAGGTGTGCCCAGCAGCCCCACCACCAGCTGCATGCGCACCAACCCGCACATGGCACCGCCATGTAGCCGCCGCAGCAAGGCGAGGAGCGACTGCGGAGTTCGACCTTCTTCACGTTGCGCACGGTTGAGGCGATCCAGCAGATGGCGAACGTACGAGGCACACACGACACGGCTTGCAAATAGGCGTGCGCCACTTGTCAGCAGCACGTGCACCAGCCACCCTGCCCGCAGCGACGCAGCCCGATCAAGCGCCGTCAGCCTGCCAGGAGATACAAAACGCGCACAAGCAAAATGGAATGAGCTACAAGTAGGGTTGGCACACAGACACAGACACAGACAATCACACAGACAACCAGACAACCACACACAGACAGCCTCAACCACAACCACAACCACAACCACAACCACAACCACAACCACAACCACAACCACGTACACGACCACAACCACGTACACGACCACGTACACAACCACACCACAAGCACGCACACAACAGCAATCGCTCCAGCGTATCAATGCACAAGCTCATGTTTTGTCCAAGCTCACCCCAAGTCATCTGGTTGGTCGAGGTTGACGCCGAGCTCAACGAGCCGTCGAATGAGTCGACCGAGCTCGCGCCGATGATCTCGCGCAGTCTGTGCCGTTTCTTTCGGTCCAGTCGCTATGGCCAGGTTCTGGCTGGTGCTGTGCATGTGGCGCATACTTGGACATGTACTGTTGCAAGTGGCGGCCGCCAACTCAACCAGGCATCCAATTGGCCTGGCGCCAGAGAACGTGTGCATGATGTCTTCGCAGTGTTCCAAACACTTGCACTGCCAGTGCGTTTGTAGAAGCGCACCGTGGGCGCACGCCGTGTCTGCCAGCACAACTTCAATTTCTTCGCGACAAGGCGCCTTGAGCGCCGGCGCCACAAACATGAGCACCTGACCCGACGGCCTCGCTGCCAACAATCTGCATGTGCAAGAGGGGGTTGTGGATGCATTACTGGAAGCTGGGGGAAAAGCAATCGAAGGAAGCAACGCAGTTAACACAACATGAAACAAACATAGACTCAGACACAGGTACGGACACAGACACACACAGACACCCACACAGACACACACACACAGCCACACCCACAAACACGCCCACAACCACCCACACCCACACCCACCCACCCACCACCCACCACCCACCACACACCCACCCACACACCCACCCACACACCCACACACACACACACACACACACACACACACACA